GCTCTCAATATCATCTCAGCTCCTCCTGTTAACAATTGCTGATTGCATCCCTCTCTCTGAGCCGTTTTCCGTTTGAGTCTCTTCTCACTGTCCTTCCAAGCTGACTTCTATCAGTGTCATTAAAAAGAAAATAAACTTTTAAAACAACAAAAATAACTCAGTCTGGTCCATAATTGCATCTGCACTAAAGTCCACCACTGTCAGTGTTTTGCAGTTTTTGGTTCTGTTTTCTTTGTGAGTTTTCATATGTTTTATTTCCATTTTGTGGTGTTTTCTGGTTTTATTTGAAATCTACGTACTTCTTGTTTACCCTTTGTTGGGTCCTCTAAACCCTCAACACAACCTGACAGTAGGAACCAGCCAGAAATGGACCCAGCAGAGCCCATCTAGGAGGAAGCAAAACTCAGTTTTTTTAATGACTGGACAGCTACACTTTCCATCCTCCTTAAAAGAGACTAAGTGCAGCCTGTGAGCTAAAATACATTTGTGAGAGACAGACTGAGCTTGCTGCTCTTGAAATAACAGGACTGTTTTTGGGAATTGAGTGGAACCAACAAGCCGCTGCAGCTCACTTCATCAACCAACCACCTCCACCCAGACCACCACTCACATGCTTGCTCCCTTGCCATCTGTTTTGCCTCTTGGTATGTCTACAACAGCTCCTCTTTGTGGGTTTCAAGCTGCACCGCCTTCCAAGGTTCCTGCTGCTGAGTCACTGGCCTCCAACGTTCGTGCTGCTGAGACGCCCGGCCCCCGGGTGTCCTCCAGAGACACTTCTTCATCGCCGGTCTACTGGCTGTCATCCTGAGACCCTTCTTTGTCACTGGCCTTCAGAGACTCTTCTTTGTCAGCGACCTCCAGAGACTCGTTTTCGCCTCTGGCTTTCTGGCCAGCCTTCAGAGACTGTACTTTGTCCTTGCCCACCTTTGGTGGGTTGTGTTTTTGTTTCTTGCCCTTCTTCCTGGTCCCACATCCGCCCACCCTGGGTGGGTTGTTTTGGTTTTTAGACTTTTTAGGGTGTGTGGTATGCGCCCTTAAGTAGAGGCTACTGTCACCTTTTTAGTTCTGTTTAAGTTTTCTTTTACAGTTTTCATAAAATGTATTGAGAATTAAGTCAGACAGGCTCTCCTTAACTATCCTTGTCACAGTGGTTGCCCTAATGATCACTTGTTTGTCCCAGATGACACATCCGGAAGAAAGTGTTAAACCTCTGTCATGGCTCCCTTTTGTTCTGTCATCCTTGTGTTTCCAAAACTATCAGTTTTGCTAAGGCTCAATTTTGGTGGCCTAGTCTCTCTTTAGATCTGCAGGAGTTTGTGGCAGCCTGTCCTCTCTGTAACCAGTACAAGATGTAAAGAAGGCCACCATCTGGTTTTCTCCGACCTCTGCCTATTCCTTCTCGGCCATAGTCTCATACTGCCATGGACTTTATTACCGGGTTACCATGTTCTGGAGGTAACCCCACTAAGATGGTTCACTTGGTTCCGCTGCTCAAACTCCCCTCTGCCTAGTAGATGGGGCAGATTCTTATACATGAAGTTTTTTGTCTGCATGGTCTCCCCACAGAGATAATTTCAGACAGGGGTCCTGGGTTTGTGTCGCAATTATGCAGGGATTTCTGCTCCTTGTTGGGGATTTCTTTCATCAGGTTTTCACTCCCAAACAGATGGTCGGACAGAGAGGGCCTACCAGGAAATTGAGACCAAGATCCCTATTTTCTGTGAGACCAATGCCAATAGGGATTGGGCCAGTCAACTTTAGTGGATTAAACATGCCATTGACTCTGCTCACTCTAGCACCACTGTTCTCTCTCCATTTTTTGTTTTTGTTTTTAACCAACAGTGTTCACCATCCAAAAGAGGGATTGTAAAGTTCCCTGTGCCCGTGTGTTGCTCTCAGGTGTCAGTGAGCCTGGAGTAGAGCTAGAAAGGCCATTTCTAAGGCCCTGATTGGTCCCAAATCCCCTGAGCCTACCTACTGTCTTTATGTCCTGGCTTCAGTCCGTTTCCAGGACATTTAATGGGCACTTTCACCCAGTCTTTCTTGCCACCCTTGGGCTAACTGTAGTAACAGGATGTTGCATTGTATCTTTTGGTGGCCATTTCTCATCAAAGGCAGGCTATAATTTGTCTCAGCCTTCACCATTTGTGCAAATGGAAAAAACTCACTAGGTGGACTCTTGCAACCACTCTTCATTCTCAGTAGGTTATGGTCTTGGTTGCACTGTATTTTATCGCAGGACTCCCCGTTTCAAAAAATTAAACCACTATCCTAAACATTATTGACAGGCTCTCCAATGCCTGCCATTTTATATCTGTCAGAAACTCCTGCCTGCTGCTAAAAAGACCCATTGTCTTTTCCTTCATGTTTTTAGCCTCCACAGCATCCCCTCTGTTTTACTCTCAGATTTTGGTCCAAAATTCATCTCACAGTTCTGGAGCTAGTTTTTTTCTTTTTTTTTTTGGTTTTGAGGGCCAGACCTCATCTAATCTCTGGGTTCCATCCTCAGACTATTGGCCAGGGTAAAAAACCAAATCAATAGATAGAAAATGCACTTTGCTACAGCATGTCTGTGCAGTTGACTATTTCCCATGGAGTAACCATTTAGCATGAGTTGAGTATGCCCACAATGACCACAACCCTGCTGTCTGGGGGTTATCCTCTTTTGAGACCTATCTTGGATGTAAGTCTTTCATCTTTCCCTCTTTTCCAGATACAGTTGTTCTCTCTGCCATGGCTCACATCAGAACATGCTGCTGCATTTGGGATCTTACAGAGTCAGCTCTAAACTGTACCTCCATCTAAAACAAAAGGAAGCCCATCGCGGCTCCTGTTTATTCTCCGGGTCAACAAGTATGTCTCTCATCTAAATATTTTCCCAGTCACCAGTATTTGGTAGATTGGCAACAATATGGTCCTTAACATGTACTTGGTTGTGCGCCAAGCTCAGTGAGTATGTTTACCTTTTATCCTCAGGGTGTGTCTGGCAGGTGAGCTTCAAGCTGGTGCTAATTGAATGCAACCAGGAGGCAGGATTTAGAGAAGCACTGTTAGAGTGATAACTATCCTGTGTTTCAACCAGAAGGGTCATAAACT